TCATACAGTTTTAAGCCAGCCTTCCAGCAGAGATGGAAACATCAGACAAACTGCTTATCTGACATATCCATAATAATTTAACATGCCATGCCTTTCCCCACTCTGTTGTTCATTTGCACTGTCAAGCATGATAAGTGAACAAAGATAGACACAGTGTTGGCATTTAAATATAACAATGCTTCCCTGTCTTATCTATTTTCTTTCCATCCATCTCTTTTCCTTCTTTTCTCCATTTAGCCTCTTTTTATAGCTTCTCTCCTCTATCTTAAGAAGCTTTTATGATAATGAGGGTTATTTTTTATTATAAGCAATTGACACTGTGATAAATTGTTCCGAATGATGTATGTAGTGCACATTGCCTTACTAAATGATTAATTGAAAATGATTATAAAATAATGCTAACTTACTGAGACCTCTCCATTTCTCTTGAATCCTCTGTTTTTAAAGAAAATCATGAAGATGTGTAGCAGCAATAGTGTTTGTCTCTAAGCAAGGAATTATTTGAGCTATGGATGGCTGGAAGCTTCTCTAACATTGATGCTTTCAAAAGAGGCAGCAGAATGTCCTTTGGGGACACCCTGCCAGATTTTATAGAAATTTTTTTTTCTTTTCTATTGGGAAATATGGCAAAATGCATCCTAGGGACTTGGATAGACACAAGAATGCAGCATTCTAATTATGTCTATATGGATGAAAAATTTATTTTTAGCTCTTTGAACATTTAAATGTGTACTTCTAGTGTTATCTAACAATTGTAAGATACTTTATGAAATGGTATTGTCTTATAATAGATCATAAGAGACAAGAAAAATTGCTGAGGGCAGGATTTCAGGCCATGCAGTCCTTATCTTTACCTGTCATCAAACCCTCTGTTCTAACCAATTGATTGGGATCCAGCTTATAACGTTATTCAGCAATGAAGACCACAAAGTGATTGCTGTAAAAAAAAAAGTAAATGTAAGCAAATGTAAACTATTGAGAGCAACAATTAAATCTGGTTGAATTTTCCACATCTTCATGTCAGATATTTTACACATAAATATAGAAGGGGAGAGGGTGATCCTGGTATTTTTAATTTATACGGAAGAAGAAAGCGTAGCATCTTTATGATCTTCTGACTATGTCTCCTCAATCAGACAAGAAGGGGAGTTTGAGAAGTCAGTTTTACTGATTATTAGGTAATTCAATCAAAATGAATGATCTCAATATTTCATTTCTGTATACCCTGGAAATCTGACACAGAGACAGAGTAATCAGGGGTTCCTCTGTTTTGGCTACATCAACATCATAATCAGAATCAAACATTAATTGATGTTTGGACAAGGTGGTGATAACTGGTGCTGTGAACAGTAATGAAGAGGTATTAGACACATCAGAATAACAGTGTGAATAGGAGGCGGAAATTTTATTCTCTGATAAAGAAGAAATACGTATTCAAAATTGTAAGAAGAAAAATGCTGCAAGGTGACAAGATTCTACACAGTGTTACTTGGTTTGCAGATGAAATCAGGACTTACTTGAATCAGAACTACTAAACCCCTAAATGGACATGTGCATGCTTGCCATGCCCAAATCCCCTCTTGGTTCAAATTTTACAATGAAGAAGGCATACTACACATTTTTAAGTACATGAGATCATGAGAAAGTAATTTTCACTTTCTGGAGAAAGAACTTACACTTCCTATGAAGCTTGACAGGAAATTGAGGATGACTTTTTGGATTTCTTTTTGACTTGAACACCTGGGAAAGTATATGCATTTTTAAGTATAAGTGAACAGCCCCGGAGACAGAAGTACAACTCTAGGAACAATAACTAATATTTATTGAGTGCTTACTATGTGCAAGGCGTTGTTCTAAGCTCTGCATTAATTAATTCATTTAATCCTCATTGCAATCCTATTTCGTAGGTAGTATTATTTTCACCATTTTACAGAATAATTAAGACAGACAGGTAGAATAAATAGATGAAGGTCACAGAGTTGGTAAATGGCACAGTTGGTGTTTGAACCCAAGAATTCTGGGTCCAGTGTCTATGCAAAAGCTAACACACTAGAGTGCCTTGATGCATTAGAGTGATTTAAAAAAAAATCTTTCTTGTGCCTGTCCAGGATGCTACCACAGCCTTATGAAAGATAGTTACCTTTTATTATGCACATTTCAGATTATCAAAAGTTCAATGAGTATAGTGAAAAGCTGAGCCTATGTCAAAAAATAATTAGATGGTCATCTGCCACCAGAGGGCACATTTGTCTATGGTCTTGAAAGCCTCTGAAGGGAGGGGATGGGGCTTGGGAAGAGGGGAGCTAAGAGTACATGACCTAGCTGAATTTTACTGAGCATGAATACCAACTTGGACCATAGTGGGACTGCCAGCAGATTACAAGCTTCACAAATCAATAACACAAGTTATTTGTGGGGGCAGGGGGAGAAGTAATGTTTGTGAAGAAAGCCTTTATTTTTGGCTTTATAACAGGGTCATGGGGTTTCATAGGGAATAGGTACAATTCAGGGAACAATATGGGACTGAATAAATGAGCCTGAATTTTGCATCTGATATGTTTACTCACTCTATCAGAAAGAAGATTTTCTCCTGGCTATGATCTGATCTAAGGGACCTGCGTAGGGGCTCTCAGGCTAAGGACCATGATGAAACAAACTTTTGCAATTTGCTAAACAGTGATGCTGAAGGGTGAATTACTGGCCTATATAATTCCAATGTAAGTAGTCAGTGTTTTCAAAATGGTTGACTGGGGAAGTCACTGTACTTCAAGTCCAAATTAACATCAGCTAAATGCACTAGAGAGGAGATATTAGAATTTTTTTCTCTCATAACTCTCATAAGTCAGAAGATAATTTTTCTTTCGAGGGTTTAGCCTATGACCCTTTTTATAACAAGTATTTTGTAGTACCCTCTTTTTCATTCTAAGATGAAAATTTTAGATACTATATGTTACTTGTAGTATAAAGATCAATATAAGAGTGGAGAGCATATCAAAGATGTTTTTCATACATCCAAACGAATCAAATTGTAGTCATTAATATGTGAAGCTCTTTGTGTATCAATTATACCTCAATAAAGCTGTTAAAAATTGATATAACTGATTTTATTATAAAATAAAAATCAATGAAATAATATTCATTTCAGTATGTAAACACTCAGTCATGACTACACAAGAAAATAAAATAAAGGAGTAAGATGCTTGCAACTATACATAGAATTCCAGAAACGTGACTGTTCCAAATCCAGATTGATGTAGGTGTTTTGAACTGGTTCTACAGGGTGACTCAACCCCCATCTAGTGACACTGCTGTCGAGGATATGATTTCACAAAACTGCAAACAAATCTTGGTTAAAATCCAGATAAAGCAAAGTAAAATCTTCCCACAATTTGCTAAATACTGACATTCCCAGAAAAGTTATCTTAGGGGAAACTATGCCTATTGTAAAATGTGGTTAGATTTTAAGCTCAGATTATAAATATTTTTTCATCTACATAAGTGACCAACAGAACATTTAAAAGTAATTTGGAACAATTCTTGGTTGGTAAGCCTCTTCTGCACACTGTAGAAGGTGTGGACCTCGCTTGTAAAAACCAAATGGTGCCCACTCTTATGAAAACCCAAAATACCTCCTGCCTTTCCAAAATCCCTCCTATAAGGGGGCCATCACCACATGGAGAACCATTGGTCTGGCTCAAACTTGCTTCAGCGAAGTTTTATTTTTTTCTTTTCTCTTTAGTGGAAATAATATAGCTATTCATCTGCATTCATATAGCATTGACTGCAGACTCTACCTGCTGTACATAAAGGTTATTGTTAAGTTCCTCCTTAACCTTATGAAATGCCAGGGAGGACATTAAATACAAATCTCTAAAACTGAAGTTGCTTTAAGAATGATCCAGCCATGGCAACAATGAAGGTCACTTCTTAAAAAGAAAGTGTTCTTCAGCCAATGTAAATTCCAAAAGGGAAAAAAGAAAAAAAAAATAACCAGGAGATCATTATGGTCATTTTTAAGGGTAAAGGAATCCAGACTAAGGATTTTATACAAAACACAAGCACAAATGCAAAACAGTTTTCAGGGGGTCAGTGGCTCTTACAAAGATTATACAGTCAAGTCTGGTTAGCATGAATCTAGCAATAAAAATCAATGTTACATATGTTCTATCAGAATGAACCACACACAGATCTTTTAACTGCCAGACGTATTGATAAATCAACCAAGCACTAATGTTATCTGACTCTTTCACAGATAAAGATGCCACATTTCTTGTGGCATCCATAGATTATTTTAGACAGAAATAAATTCCTAGAGGATTAAAAAAAAAGAAGATAAAGTATGTGCTATTAAATACATTGATATTTCCTTTTTCTGTATTATTTCAAAAAGTGCTAATTTGGCAACCTTGTGTTTTGTCAAAGCAGTACAAAAGCTTACTTTATTTGTGAAAACATAATAGAGAATATGTATATCAGGACACTCATATACTGCAATGACTACATTGATTGACTATTAGGAGTTTGCCCAGGGGAACAAAACACTTGATTAGACACAAACAGGACAGATTTTCATGCTTTTTAACTCCTTGGCAAGCATTGCTATTAAAGAATCTCAGATCACAGATAAGATTTTTGAGAGGTCTAAGATACAGACTTCTCAATATGTCATTATATAGATACATAGTGACTATGTATGGTTAGCCTACTTAATGTGATATGTCCCCAAACTCATTAAATTAGTGGTATGTTTAGATACACCACATTTGCAAGAATTCAAATAAGTGAGCTACATACACAATGTAAACATTCTTAATACTATTGAACTGTTAAAAGTAAACACTGAACAAGCCTGGTGAGGTGGCTCACACCTATAACCCCAGCACTTTGGGAGGCCAAGGCGGGTGGATCACGAGGTCAAGAGATCAAGACCATCCTGGCCAACATAGTGAAACCCTGTCTCTACTGAAATACAAAAATTAGCTGGGTATGGTGGCACATACCTCTAGTCCCAGGTACTCGGGAGGATGAGGCAGAAGAATTGCTTGAATCCGGGAAGTGGAGGTTGCAGTGAGCCGAGATTGTGCCACTGCACTTCAGCCTGGTGCCTGGTAACGAAGCAAGGCTCTGCCTCAAAAAAAAAAAAAAAAAAAAAAAAAAAAAAAGAAAAGAAAAGAAAAGAAAAAAAGAACACTGAGCATTTTAATGAATGTCTGCAGTCAAAACCCTGCATCTCTGAATAAGTGTGAGCCCTGGATGGAACATTATGAACACTGCAGTACAATATCCCTTGGAAAGTAAGTGCCATGAGTTCAGGACATGATCTCTTTGATCTCTTTTGTTCACATCTATATCCACAGTGTCTAGAAAACGCCTCTTATAGCAAGAGTTTACAATACTTGTTAAAGTATTATAAACTTAATTACTAAATATCAGTTGCTCTTATGAGCTCCAATATCTTTAAGTTCATAATTTGATCAATAATAAAATATACATATTGTTGATATGAAGTGAGATAATGCAGAAATACTTTATAGACTGTATCCATTATGAATTATTATTGCTGTGACATGATGTTATTTTGATATGTCATTTACCCTTTAAAATAAATTCCTATGTATTTATCAATAAACAAACAAAAGCATAGAGCACTTGACTTCTCAGTAACACAACACATTTTCTGAAACACTCTCTTTTTGAGATAGATGATGTCCAGTGTTCCAGATTTCACTGGCCACTTCCTCTCAGTCTCCTTTGCTAGTTTCACCTTTTTCCCAAGAGCTTGGTCTTACACACTCAATTTTATCTCTTTGCACTCTTTCTTTTGGTGATAGTGCTGATTGCCATCAGTTCATGTAACACCTACAGGCTGAGGACCCCTCAGTGATGCCCATTTTAAATGTCTCTTCTTTAACTGCCCACGTGACATTTCAAATAAGATATCTCTCTGGCATTTCAAAATCTACATTACTGTAACTGAATTTCAGATCTCCACCTCACCCCCCTCCCCATCTTGGTTCAAACTTGCTGTTTCCAAACTTCCCCATCTCGGTAAATGTCAACTGTGTCCACTCAGTTGCTAAGCCAGGAACCTGGAAGTCATCATTAGTTTAATTTTTCTAATCATTCTCCCTTCCTACCCCTAATTCATCAACAGATTCTTTGTGTCTACCCTTTGAAATATACCTCAGATCTCTACTTTTCTCTATCTTCCCTGCCAACACTCTGGTAACATCCCTTCTTGATCTGAGAACAGTAATAGTATCCAACCGGACTTTCTTCTCTTGCAATCTATTTAGTTACCAAAGGGAAGACATTAAACTTTAAGTTATTTCAGTACCCTTTTGTGCCCGCCCCCCCCCCCCCACTGCACTTAGGATGCAATCCAAACTTAACATTTCTTACAAAGTTCAGATGATTTGAACAAGGTCTATTTTTTATAATCTTATTTCATATCTCTCTTCTCTTCCTTCCTATGTTCCAGCTACTGTGGGTTACCCCATTACCTTTAATCAAACAGATCTCCTTTTTGTTTGTTTCAGGACAATTCTACATGATTTCTTGGCCCTTAACATCACATCAAACGGCTGGATCCTTCTCACCTCTTAGATCTCAGCCATGTTTCTCCTAAGAAAAGCTCCTCTTCTCTCTTTACCTAAATCAGCTCCTCTCCATGTTCTTCATCACCATGCATTATGTTTTCTCCATAAGAACAACTATGATTTGGAATGGTTTATTTGTTTACTTCCACAGTGTCTGCCCCCTCACTGTATTTTTAGTGTCTTGAGGGTGGAAATATTCTATTTTTTACTGTTGCATTTCTGGCACCTAGAAGTAAACCTGGAATCTCAAAACTGAGTTTCTTAGGAATATTTGTCATACAGCATTCCTCCTTTCCTTCAGAGCCCTTATCTCAATTTGTGATTATTCAATCCTAAGTGTAATCATTTGAATAATGACTGTCTGTCTCATTTACAAATGCAAAATCTCCATGAGGACAGGAACCATGTTTGATTTTGGCCACTAAAGCCTAGCACAGGGCCTGACATGTAATAAATATGCAATGCATACTTGTTGGAATTTATTGACCAAAAAGTAGCTTTAGCTTATTGTGATGGTTGATTTGGGGTATCAACTTGACTGAATTAGGGGATATCTAGATAGCTGATAATACATTATTTATTCTCAATAATTACATTAATTATCCTCAGTGTTTTGGTAGGCTCTGGGCCCATCCCTGTTTTGCTAAAAGGGAAGCCCGAGTGGTTTTCATTTGATTAGAATGAGTGGGCTGCCTCAGATATATCTGTGAGGGAGTTTCTGGAGGAGATTAGCATATGAGTCAGTGGACTGAGTGGGGAAGATCTACCCTCAATGTGAGCAGGTACCTTCCAATTGGCTGAGGATGCAGATTGAATAAAAAGGTGGAGAAAGGGAAAATTATTGCTGTCTCTCTTTCAGAGCTGGGATGCCCCTCTTCTGCCCTTGGACCTCAGGACTTCAGGTTCTTCCGTCTTTGGACTACAGGACTTGCATAAGCAGTTTCTTCACCCCCTGCTACTTCTGACCCTTTGCTTCCTGCTCTTCGGTCTTTGGACTTGTACTGAGTCACTCTACCAACTTCATTGGTTCTGCAGTTTACAGCCAGTCTATCAGGGAACTTCTCAGCCTCTATAATCCAGTGAACCAGTTCTCCTAATACATTTCTTCTCATTTATCTCTAGACATCTAGACATTTTCAGTGTCTTGCTTTGAACAGTTAAGCTACATTAATATGCTATTAGTCCTGTCTCTCTGGATGATCCTAACCAAAATATTTATACAAAAGGAAATTCTTATCAGATCAACAATCTTAGATTAAATGCAATGATTTTAACCTGACAATTTTACATGTGTAATTGGACTGTATTCTTCTACTTGACTCAATAATGTGGTATTTCTTCTGGTCCTCATTACCTTTAATCTCAAAATAATACTTTTTAAAAATTTTACTTGTAAAAAATCCTGAATATAAGAAAGTTTCCAGAAAAAAATTCTGACAACTGCTCTGTTTTTATAAAATCATAGCGTGAAAACTTCTGCCAAACAATTAACATCACTCAAAGCTAGAGAGTTGTATGACTTTGATAGTTACTCTTACTTGTCCTGCTTATGCAGAAATTATCAACTCAAGTATTATCGTTAGTTTCCATGCGTTTCATTTTTAATTATAGAGCATTTTTGAAGAGCTGTCTCCTTTCATGAAAATATAAAAGGAAGTTGGGTATTTTATTTATCCTTTAGTTCTGGTACTTTGTTATGGAGGTGGTATCACCACCAAATACTGTGGGCTGTGTTTTAGAATTTGATAATTTGAAAAAGTGAAATTTTTCAATCTTATGATCAAGTAGTTCAGTGGAGGATTGAAAACCATATTGTTGACCTACGGTTCCCTGGAAAATGCCACTTCTTGTATTCCAACGGATTTAGAGTTTGAAGTTGCAGTGTGACATCAACTACATACTTCGCTTTATTTTAAAGAGATAAAATAGCAGAGTTTCTTTTGCCATAAATGTCTACTGACTTCTTTATATTATCATTATTTTAGGTCCCCACTTGTGAATGACTGTGCCATAGATAAGATCATGTTTTGACATTTTTATAGCACTTCTGGTCATAGAACTCTGCTAAAAAGTGAACTGTGAAAGGATTCTTGAAAAACTGGTGACATTTGCATAGGGAATAGAAAGGAACAAAAGAGGTTTGGAGGTGGCAGTGAGCATAATATGTTTCAGGTGAGTGAGAAGAATGACCCACATTGTTCAGAGGAAATTTGTTGGGAGGAAGGAGAAATCAGCCGTACAGAAATTAGCAAAGACTTTGAAAGCCCTCAGAATTTTTCACACTTGACCCAATGGGAGATAGGGTGGCGCTGAAGGTGACTGAGCAGGTAACAAAGTGTTCCAAAGTCATCCATGGCCTTCTTGTATAATTCACGGTACAAGATTTTGCTTTGAAAAAAGGCAGAGTTATGAATCTGATAAACACCATTGGGAAAGCAACGCCTATTAAAAGAGATATTTGTATTCAAAGTTAGCACATAATAGACATTACATGTGAGCTTCCAACACTCCTCACTAAAGCTTTGAGACTTCGTGTTAGTTTTTCTCCCACACATGGTCATTTTTTCAAAAGTAGAACAGCTCTAACATAATACTTGCCATTTTTCTATCTCACAAAAGCTCTTGGTAAGAGAGAATATCCAGACATGAATGTCATTATCAAATTCCTGGAGGCAATATTGCTAAGAAACATGTACATTGTACAACTTTTAAGTTTAAACCAACAGATGACTGACAATTCTGTATCTAACACATTTTAATAAAAAAGTTGAATACTTGATGGAATACATGCATAATTCACAGTTAAATATCCAACTGTGGTTATAGTGTTTTGGGAGTCATTAAAGCAAATCAAATTTTCCGTTGTAAATGACCACCTTCCAAAGCCTCTGTCCCAAATCTAGCATGTATAGTTTTCACCCTGGACAGATGTCAAAAAACAATCCTGAAATAATAGTGTCATGTGAAAATCTCAGACATTTTTGGGAATTAATATCCATCCAGACTGAAGCTTTAAAGTTCTACAACTATATTCCCAGCTAGCCTAGAAATGAGAATGCAGCCTTGGACTCATTGGTGTTTTCTGGGCAGATAGTAACCTGACTGAGATCTCTAGGTTCAGGAGGGGACAAAGGCTCTTTAAGGATTAACATGATTGCCACGGGAGTTGGGGGGGTCACTAAGCAAAGATAAGAAAGCTCAACTTAGAATCCCACCCAACTGCTCTCTTCTCTGTCCATCTCAACTACTTACAGTTACTGTTTACTTATTTTTCCTGTAACATCCAAGGAATAAGAAGTCCTCCTGCACTCAGAATTATCCACTCACTATAGACATTATCCACTCACACACACAGTTTGGGGAACATGGCTTGTTAAGATAGCTTCTCTAGGGAAGTGAGAGTCAGAAGAATCTGTGGGTTTTAAGCCTACTTTGCAGCTTCCCCTCCCTTAATGCGACTCAGCAACAAGGCCTGGCTCTAATATTGCCAACTTGTGTGGGTCCTAACTTT